GGAGTCGTCGCATTCCGCAAAATTTCCGCTCACCTGGTGGACATTTCGGGCAAGCGTACTCTTTTCCATCGACATTTTTTAAATGGAATTTATAATACTGCTCAGCCCGAAAGCCTTCCCTGCAAACGGCACAACTGTACGGAAGCTCTCGAATGTGCTTGAGAATATGGTAATGAAGACTGTTCTTGGTGCGAAATTCCTCCTTGCAAAAATAACATGGAACGACAGGATTTTTTATGAGGAGATGAATTCTGCAAGAGGAAACGGAAATAATTTACGTAAATTATGCGAATAAAAACATTCATAAAAAATGAATCATTATCCATGCCAAATTACGAAAAGTAATTTATAGGCAATTCACGCCGTCTTTGGTAACTTCATAAAATCCGTAAACTTTTACGCATATTTGTAGCATACAAAAATTGTCACCAAATTTTTGTAAATTTACTCCGATCACATGAACCTCTATATTTTGAAGAAGCTTAGAAAATGACTTTATAAAATTTACGGGTTTTGCAAAGTTACGAAGGATTTCGCATATTTACATATTTAACGTTAATTACATAATTAATTACGCAACTTATTACTGACTTGCATAAATAATTTGCATAGATAAATTACGCATGGTAACATCAATATTAATCGTAATTTACTCACTTTTCAATATGCCGTTTCAAATTCTGCTCAAGTTTGCAACTTTTTCCACACTCTTTACACACAAAAGAGGGCGGAGTGTTCGAATGGAGAAGGAACGTATGCCTTCTCATTTGCGTCGGGGTGACGAAGGCCTTCTCACAGTGGGAACATTTGTGCGGCCTGATTCCCGTGTGAAAGGAACGAATGTGATATATTAAATCATGCTTTCTTGCAATACTTTTTTTGCAAATTTTGCAAGTTGCTCGTTTCGGTTTTTTCCATTTGCGCCCCATTTCTTGCGAGGGATGAATTACCACTTTGTACTATTCTTAATCGGGTCACTTTTATCAGAAATTAGAAGATTGTAACGTAATTATTGTACACATGTCTGGATTAGCAAGAGGCTTAATGGGAACTGAGTGAAGAAATTAGAAAACTTGCGGCAAGTGAGAACCATTTACATACATACATATTTATGTACGTATGTATTGATGTACATAAATAAATTTATGCATGTATGTATGTATGGACAAAGGAGTGCTGCACATATATAAGAATTTATTTGTATTTTGTATTCATGGACTTTTTGTCAGTATGTAAATATGTGCTCTCTATATTGCATACATATATACATTACTGACTTATTTTACTTATCCATGTAGGTATTTGGAACCATTCACTCACTCTACAAGGGGTTAGACCAAATATATTTTTTCCGTAATCCGGCGTATTCATAAGTACCTTATTAGTACATATATATGTGAGCATTTGCATATGCATGTACATACATACTTAGGTACGTATGTATGCATATAAATAGAAATATGTATATAAGCACATGTACTTTTTTTAAGACAATGCCGTCTTATTGTACTGTACCGTACAATACAATGGTACTCCACATATCGTCGTACTAATTTCAAAAAGACTTAAGTGCACTCGATGGCTAATTCCAACATAACATAAGTGCTTATGTCTTTTTACTAGTTTTGCCTGTGCACTTATGTTATTTCGGAATTAAGCATAGGGTGCACTTACGTTGTTTCGAAATTAACCATCGATTACACTTACGTCTTTTCGGAATTAGTACGACGATATGCATAAATATGTATGTATGTTTATTACAAATATGTATCGTACAGTCTGTATTTTTGTACAATGCACACTTGTAATACCATCTTAGACATTTAGTTTCCCTTCTCTCAAATAGGAACACGGCTTTGACAGGTAGAATCTCCATTCAGACTAAATATGTATGTTGTTAAAATAAATGGGGTAGTTTGAAAAGGTGCTCTTTGTGGTTTGAAAAAACCACAGGAGGTGAAAAAAGGTTTACAATTTCTGCCCCTCACTTGTGTACATTTATGCATATTTAGTAAACCTTACAATTAGTAACGGAATTTTGATTAAAGTTGGTAATATTTACATATTTCTATAGTACATGCATACATACATATCTACATGCAAGTAAAGTGCATGAAAAGTATTTATTTTTCGGAGGGAAGAATGATTCGAATATTTTAACTATTTGGGTAATCATAGAGCTGAAATTATCGCAAAAATATTTTCAGGTTATCTGCACACACCAAAATGTTCAGGGTAATGGTAGACCAGATTTTATATTTAGAAGGAAATCTCCATATTTCATACATATGCTCTTCATTCATACATAGTTGTAAGTTTGGGGAAATTGATAATTCGGAGAAACGAAATATTTACATGCACCGCTGTCAGTCTCAAGTTCTTTGAAATGCTGACGGGATACTTATGTACACTGAGACCCGCAATAGCGTAGTTTCTCAGAATTATAATTTTCCGGAAATCTTCAACTGTGGGAATATAAATAAAATCGAACTTTATTTAATTATTTAGCGTACAGTATTCATAATCTATACAACATTTCTTTTCATTTTCCAGCTTTTAAAGCGGAATTTGGATCGATTCAAATAATGGTGACAAATCGTGAGATGAAAAAAACTGGACTTCCCTCAAATATTACTTACAATGGAACCTTTTTTCAAGCTACACGAGATAAGCTTAGTGACTTATACTAAAAAATCAAGCTAAAAATTAGAAATGACGTGGTACTTATCTTTCCGTTGAATGGGCACTTGGAGGTCAAATATTTGAGGGCAAAGTTCACAGTAGCGGCCTGTTTTTTCTCAAGCGGGCGAGCGGAGGAGTGAAAATTTTCTCCTTCGAGGTCACTCCGCTGCCTTCACTCTCGCATCTTCGGGTTTGCACTTTCATTCAATGCATATTATTTTTGATAAAATTTCACAATCTCGTAAATTGGTGCATACATTCATATAATTTTATATTTACTTTTTAAATCGATCCTACATACTATCCACCGATCCGTTATAAAAAAGTATCAATTATTTCCCCGTTTTCGCAATCAATAAAATTTACATCACGCACTATACCACCTAATAAAAATAAGAGTAAATTCGTAATAATTAACACAAATGCTAATAGCTATTCATTTATCACTGATTTTCATTTCCTTCAATAAGTATGTAATTGTAAGTTATCTCTTGCAGCTTTTCTAGAAAAACTTCAGGAATTAGGAAATTTTCTTCATCTGGGTCCGATTCATCATCCTCGAAATTGTATTATTTGGGTGAATGTTTTAGCGACGCACTTATAATTTACTGCACCCATCGTCACTTTTTTAAGGATCGATTTAAAAAGTAAATATAAAATTATATGAATCTATGCACTAATTTACGAGATTGTGAAATTTTATCAAAAACAATGTGCATTGAATGAAAGTGCAAACCCGAAACGCGAGAGTGAAGGCAGCGGAGTGACCTCGAAGGAGAAAATTTTCACTCCTCCGCTCGCCCGCTTGAGAAAAAAAACAGGCCGCTACTGTGAACTTTGCCCTCAAATATTTGACCTCCAAGTGCCCATTCAACGGAAAGATAAGTACCACGTCATTACTAATTTTTAGCTTGATTTTTTAGTATAAGTCACTAAGCTTATCTCGTGTAGCTTGAAAAAAGGTTCCATTGTTAGTATCTTTTTACTCATTTCCCACTCATAGATATGTATAAGTATAGAACTGTTTTCCTAAACGGGCAGCTTATGTGTGTATGTTCTGAAAAATCATCAACATTGGCGCTCCAAAATTATATAATTATACCCTATTTCTGCATTTTATTTCTGAAATGATAACAAGTTATGTAATACTTAATCTAAATAAGCTGGGATAAATAAGTTTTTTGTAATTACTTACCAAAGATTGATTCCACGAGTTGATTACTGCTTTAATCGTAATAAAACGGTAGAAGGATTCGAGTCGATAAACCATAAGGCAACTGGTCACAAATAAACTATAGATATGCAAGTACAGCGGCGGAAGCTTCCACCAATATTCGCACTATTTCACCTGAATTCGCTAACAATGCAAGTCTTTTACGTGTACAACTCAGATCTGGTTGGGACCAATTTTATTTTGTTCACCACAAAAAATAAGCATACCCGTATTTTTTCATTTTTCATAATGCGCTAATTTGAGCGCGAGAGGCGAATTTTGAAACATTTCTCAGCCAAAACCTCGGTTTTTAAAAATCCCGTAAGTTTTCGAATTTTAGCGCGAATCCAAAAATTCGAAAACATGTCTCTTCAGAATGACTTACCTGACTTATAAAAAATCCACATGAAATATTTTTTGAAAAATTAAAAATTTGAAAGAGTTTATAATTTTAATAAATTTCAAAAACTGGCAAAAAATTTTGAAATTCAAATTTCGAGACAATTTGATTTTTCGTAAGTCAGGTAAGTCATTCTGAAGAGACATGTTTTCGAATTTTTGGATTCGAGCTAAAATTCGAAAATTTACGGAATTTTCAAAAACCGAGGTTTTTGGCTGAAAAATGTTTTAAAATTCGCGCCTCGAGCTCAAATTAGCGCATTATGAAAAATGAAAAAATACGGGTATGCTTATTTTTTGTGGTGAACAAAATAAAATTTGTCCCAACCAGATCTGAGTTGTACACGTAAAAGACTTGCATTGTAAGTCATTGATTTCGTAGCCATAAATATGTGCACTTTGCATAAGAGGATGATGTAAAACTCCAGGATGGCGAGTGGAGGATCAATCTTATCCATTTAGAGGCAGGAATCGCCGTTAATTGATAATCGCTTAGGCTGAATTTTTTGGGAACATGGTTATAATCATTTTCTTCATGCAATTTGTTTCATTGCCGATGTCACGCTTGTTTTTCACATGAACTTCCGACTTATTTCCTTCCCGTTGGACCTAAAACGCTTCTGTAATGGTAATCCAAAAATAATACCCCGGCGGGTGACGATTTGCCCCCAAATTATTTTGGGGGTAAAAATAAGACTTATACATATGTGTATTTCAAACAATTTATTTACGAACATGTGTTCCCACACAAATTAAGTCACACAACTTCTTTTACTTCGTAATTCGTCAAAATGTTTCGAATGCACATTTCATGACTCCCTTTTAAGATGAAATTAAATAACAGAAAAATACGAAATAAAATACAATTCTAAATTAAAATTTTGCTATCGAAAATGAAAATTAAATTAAAGGAATACTTATTTATCGAATGTCCTCAATTAGGACAAAATTCTTTTTCATGCCTTTGTAGCGATATTTTCCAATGGCACCTTGCTCCACATTTTTCACACTGAAAAGGCACCTCGGTCGTATGTTTGGTTAAGTGAGCTTCCAAGTTTCGCTGCTGAATTAACCCTTTTCCGCAGAAATAGCAGGACAACGGTTTTTTGCCGGCGTGCTGAATTAGATGGATCCTCAGTTGGGTATTGTTGCTAAACCCTTTTTCACATTGGATACAATTCCAGATTTTCTTTGGGGCGTGACCCTTCGCCAAATGTGTAGTTAAGGAATCGACGGACAAAAACGTTTTACGACAAATGTTGCAAGGATGCTTAACCTAAAATTTGAAGTACATTTTAAATTAATCCTTTAACGGTTATGACTTTTTACACAAAAATGCCTTAATTCGGAACGCTATAACTGTTGTGGTCATGGTGCGAGGGGAGGAATTTAGTGCATTTAACAGAACCCGAAAAAACTGAAAGATTCAAAATTTAATATTGAGTTGTATTGGGAAATGTCTAAATTATTGGAAAGAAAACTTTCAAATATAACATTTGGTAGGAAGTTCGTACTAGGAACTGGAGATATCCCTCAAAATGACGAGAGTTTACGTCTGGGAGGGAAAATACCGAACGATATTGACCTTTCAGAAGGTAAGATTGTTTTCCTTCCGCACAATAACCACATTTTTTCAAAACGTCATTTCACGAATCTAAGAGTTAAAATTTAAATTTTGAAATAAAAAAATCGAACCCGTCCTTGGAAAGGGTGAGTCCGAGTTACGTGTTTCTCTAGGGATCGCTTGGTTACAAATTCCGCGCTGCAGGTTGAACAGGGAAGCGGTCTCTCTAAAAAGTGGAGGTGAATGTGGTTCCGCAAGTTTCCGGAGGTTATAAACGTTGCAGCACAGAAATAGCAGGTGAATGGTTTTGGATCATGAGATGCCAAATGGGCCTCAAATTCGGAGGGTTTGATAAATTCGCGACATTGTACGGGACAAATGATTCCCTCTGTAAGAAAATTTATATATGTATTACTAGTTGCATGAAGTTTGCAAAAAATTTGAAATATTTGCAAAAAGTTGAAAATAAGTAGGGCTGCACCGAGTACTCGGCCGACTCGGCGTGTATTTTTACTACTCGGACTCGGCCGAGTATTTGCTTTATGTTTTGACATTTTTTAACAAATTATCTTGTCCATAAAACTGATTTAATGAAGTTTTCTTGCATTTTGAATTTTGCAAAATATACGTCGTAGCATTTTTGCGTATTTTAAGTCGAAATGCATCAGCGACGAGGGAATTGACGAATTTGTTTTTACTGTACTACGAATGGATATCACCCAACGTATGCTCACTGATCCTGAACAAATTAGTTTCAATCGATCACAGATTTATCAGATTTATGCATGTAGTTAATACCACATTTTCACAAGGCAATATCTCCTAATGCTCCGGATGGGTAGGTATTTGTATCCAAATGAAAAAAACGTCGTTAACTTTTGGACGCGTTTTTTCACCTCTTTATACATATGCAAATATCTCCGGCAAACCTGTCTACATAATTGTACCTACTTCACAAATTACATGTATTAATTATATTGTGGATCGATTGACACTAATTCCGTCAATATTAGGTAGAATACGCTGGAAGATATCCATTGTTATTAGATTTTGTCCGATTTTCATGAATTACTCGGTACTCAGTGCTCGACTGAGTACTCGTTTTAAAAATTGCCGAGTACTCGGTACTTGGCCGAGTAGTATTTTTCACCGCTCGGTGCATTCCTAGAAATAAGATGTTTTAGAATACTCCAATATTACAAAGATTTTGAAGTTTGCATAAATAACCAAAAAGATTGAAATATTGCATACAAATTTAAATTTTGCAGAAATAATTAAGTTTCACAATAATGCATTGAATAATTAAATATTGCAAAAAATATCAATACTGCATTAAATAATTAAATCCTGCATAGATACTTCATACTTCTCGAATTATTTAAATGCTAAAACCCTGCAAATTTTCTTCTTTTACATATTTAACTCACCTTGATTTTCATGATCTTCGACTCTATGGATTTTCATATCGTTCTTCGTTTTAAACGTTTTGTAACAACACGCACACGAGTAGGGTTCTTCCATTTTATGCATTGCGAAATGAGCGGGAAAGTGTTTATTTAAAATAAGCACGTCACACCTCTCACAAACTGTTCCGCTCCTTTTATGCATTTGGTGACGACAGCGTTCATGCGTTTTTAAATTGGAAATGGTTATGAACCATTTCGGACAAACGTTGCATTTGCATGGACGCTCGTTCAAATGGCGTCTGATGTGTTGATACAGTTTGTACTTTCGTAAATAATATTGTGACGCGTATTTTGATTTTGGCGACTTGTTCAGGCAGATTTTGCAGTAGTATAATTTTTCCAGGGTGTGTGTCCGCATGTGGGAGGTAATTTTAGATTTGGAATGCTTTTCGTGACAAAAATAGCATGGGACAGTCTTCGCAGTCTGATAATTGAATGGTTTCGCCTTGATCTTGGGTGGCGCCTTGGTTTTTTGCATTTTAGGCTTTTGACAGAGTGGAAATTTAATTTGTTGCCAGCCTGGAACCTTGGGTTTCCGAGGGGGTTTAGGTGGTTCGTGAATTGCCTGAAAAGTGGGAATTTTAATGGATATAAATTCATACATATATTTGCATCAAGCATTTCGTCAATTTTTACACTCTTAGAAATCCTTCATTAAAATTGTACCAAGCGAAATTAATATTTTGACACTACCAAAGTGGTATTTTTAAGTAATACTAAAAGGTTTTTCATATGGATAGGAAATTTTTATAAACCGACAAAGTTTTAAAACCAAGCGGTAGTCACCTTTATACCAAGACCTCAATATCTGCATTACTAAATATATCAGCTTTCTAAGAGTGAATTTATTAATGAAATTTGCATTTCAATATTATTTCATTTTTGCGTAATTTTTAAGCAATTGTCTTTTACCTTTAACCTTAGGTGAGACTGGAGTCGTCGCATTCCGCAAAATTTCTCCTCATTTGGTGGACATTTCGGGCAAACGTACTCTTTCCCGTCGACATCTTTCAAGTGAAGTTTGTAATACTGCTCAGCCCGGAAGCCTTCCCGGCAGATGGGGCAACTGTACGGGAGTTCTCGAGTGTGCTTGAGAAGGTGGTAATTAAAGCTGTTGCTGCTGCGAAATCCCGTCTTGCAAAAGTAGCATGGAACGATAGGATTTTTTATTAAGAGATGTATTCTGAAAGAAAAAAAACAAAATGATAAAACTTGAGTAAATTATAATACATATTCATAAAAAAATTAATATTGTCCACACGCTAATTATTGCTTCATGCAAAGCAAGTAATTCAGATGGACAAATCGATCGCAAGTAATAAGCTGAGATTACATAGGTATGTATTTACTAGGCGATTCACGCGGTTTTTGCTAATTTCATAAAATCCTTCGTAAACTTACCAATTTCTAAGCATATTAAGGAAACTTTTTCGCCAAATTTTTGCAAACCTACTCTGATCTCGGGTATGTATTTATTTGATAGAAGGTTGCAAAATGATTGTTCCACAATTTACCGATTTTACAAAGTTACCAAGGTCTGCGTAAATTACCGAATTTGTGCATACATAAATATTTAGCGTAATGTTGTAACTAATTAATTATGTACATACATACATAATTTCCCACTTTATTACTGACTTACAATTAGATACATAAAGTACTCATCCATCATCAAATTAAAATTAATCGTAATTTACTCACTTTTTAATATGCCGTTTCAAATTGAATTCGAGTTTGCAACTTTTTCCGCACTCTTTGCAAACAAAAGATGGCGGGGTTTTTGAATGGATAAGCAACTTGTGCCTCCTCAGTTGCGTCGGTGTGACGAATGCTTTCCCACAGTGTGAACATTTATGTGGCTTGATTCCCGTGTGAAAGGAACGAATGTGATATATTAAACTATGCTTTGTTGCAATACTTTTTTTGCAGATTTTGCAAGTTGCCCGTTTTGGTTTTTTCCTGGTGCGCCCCATTTTTTGTGAGGAGATAAATTATCACTTTTTATTCTTGCTCAGATTATTTTTGGCAGAAATTGGCGGGTTTTAACGTTCCTATTTCTACATAGGCACACATGCCTTGGTTACCAGGAACTGACTGAAGAACTTGGAGAACTTGCAGTGAGTTGGAACCATTTCCATACGTACAAAAATAAATGCATGGACGGACGAAGGTGCATGTTTAGAGTGTTTGTTGTACATAAATATGTGTATGTATCTATGTATGTAAAGTATAAGCATGCATTATATTTGGCACGTATGTATAGGCTGTAAGTGTGTTATTTATATCTGCATACTAACTACCTGTTTACATCACTTATCCTTATTCATCGCCGCTTAATAAGTACATATGTTCATAAATATGTTCATACATAAATGCACATTGTCAAGTTCATTATTGTAAACCTATCCATATTTTATTTTGTGCTCTTCTCTCAAATGGGAACACGACTTTGACAGGTAGAAACTCCTCATCCATGTTACAACAAATGAAGAAGGTTGAAAGGTTCTCTTTCTGGTATGAAGCCACAGGAGGTGAAGGAAGGTTTAGAAATTCAGTCGCCCACATATTTAGTTAACCTAAAGGGAAATTTTGGTTCAAGGGGATAATATGTATTTATTTTAATGGTAAAGTGTTTATTCTTCGGAGAACGGAATGATTAGAATTTTTAGTTCATTTACTTATTAATGGGATTGATATTATTGCAGAAATATTTTCATATTATTTGAACACACCAAAATTTTCCGCATAATGCAAGACGGGAAATTTCCATACTCCATACATACATACATATTTATGCTCACTATTCATACACACTTAAATTTTACAGAATTTGAGAATTCCGAGTCCACTGCAAGTCTCAAATTCCCCGTCAGAATAATTTGAAACTACATAGTCCGACCATAAGTTCCCGTGAATGCATTTCCGGTGATAAAGCCCAAAGTATTAGAGCTATCTGATAGAAATTTTTGTGGATGAACAAGGTATTAATCTTGTTTAGAAATCATAACTTCGTTTTCACAATTTCCTCCACGGGCTTGTACACAAGACATAAGTCGTGGCGAAAACTGCTCGATCGCGGCACGCACGGATTTCCTGGGAAAAGCGCCAGATCTTCAGTAAGTGCGACCTCAGCCCTTCCACACTTGGGTGAAATTTAGAGCATACTTGTACCTATAATTTTGACCACCAGTCATAATTTAGGGGATTAAGGTCTGCAGATACTGAGCACCGTTCTACGGATGAAAAAAAGTCATGAAAATTCGTCTGAAGCCAGTTTTGGACAATTTTGCACCTTGCGCATGAGCAGAGTCTTGTTGAAAGGTCCAATGGCGATTTTCGGAGGGTCCGGGGTTCAGGTTATTAACGTTTGGCTTTAGGACACTCTGAAAATAATTCTTGGCTTCAACTTGTACCCTTTGCGGTAAAAAACAGAGATTTCATTTCTTCAGCCAACTTGCTCCCATGCACACCACGGTGATGACTTCGTATTGACTTCCGCATACTTAAACGGATGTCAGACTTCTGTACAACAAATATCTGGCCTTTTTTTCTATTAAATTTTTTGCCAACGGTGAAAAGTCTGAAATACCTTTTGCACGAAAATTGGCGAAACCTGTGGCCGTCACGAGTTATGTCTTGTCTAATTGCCCGTGGACGAAATCTTGACAAAGAAGTTATGATTTCTAAACAATATTAATACCTTGTTAATCCATAAAAATTTCGAACAGATAGCTCTAATACTTTGGGATTTATTACCGGAAATGCATTCACGAGAACTTATGACCCCACTATGTAGCTTTGGCGTATGTACATAAATAGTTTCTCAGATTTCTCAATCTCCGTAAAACTTCAACAGTGTGTGAATGGAATACAAATATACATATGTACGACGTGAATTTGTATTTTTACAGAAACACGGATTTTTAAGAAAGTAGTTTTCTCAATGTGCGAATTTGACCACACGGCCTTAACTAAACGTCGATTAAAAAATTTGTTGAAATAATAATTGTTTCACAATGAAACACATACATACATACTTACTGAACGACAATTTTTGTCATATTGACCATAAAAAATACTCAGTTGCTTTATCATCAGCAAAGTTCAAGTCTAATCTTTATGTACGTGTTCTACGTGCGTCAATAAAATCGCAACGTACGTCAAACCCTAATTCCAAGAGCAATAAAGGGATCAGTTCACACAATTGGGGTATAAACCGTAATCAAATCATGATCCCCTACGTATACGAAATATACACGTAAGCATGACTGGCAATTGTTCAAAGTTATGTTAAAGTCGTGAATCGTATGAAAAATTACTTCATTTCTAATCAAGGACACGGTCTGGAACATCAAACTGTGCGAAAAAGATGACCATGAAGGTGCTCATTATTCTAATCGTTGTCATGACAACGGCCCTTGCACAGGTGAGAATTTTCTTAATATACATATGTAAAAACACTCTTAAATTAGTGTGCCTATGTTGAAAATTAAATGCATTCTGAATTTTATATCAATCAAATCCTACACGGTGGTTTAAATGCCACGCTAAAATAGAAAATTTTTCAATGGAAAAACTCCCCAAATCTTCATTAAATAGTTATAAAATTTTGGATTGAAATTTTTATAATTATTATCCAAACTTGTGGAGCAGACTGACAAAATTATTAAAAGGTATAATTTTAAAGACAGACTTTCGTTAAGTATCTACATAGTCGGGTACGAAATTCTTTGATAAACGTTTTTTACTGCAGAAAAATAACGGGAAAGAATTTTTAATTATAATTTTCCATATGGATGCATAATATACCTGTGTATAATATAAAAATACTACCTTTCCAAATTTCCTCTCCTGGAGTACACACGCTTGAGAAATCTGATGGACGGCCGGTCGCTTGGAGCACGCGCGGTTTCTACCGGAAAATGGTCACAAGCGTTGAGAAACAAAATTTGAGAACTTCTGCACCAGTGGAGGTTTTAGAGCAGGCCTTGGTCTCAATTTTAAGCCCCAAGTCATAATCCAGATGATTAAGGTCTGCTATTACCGAAGGAATTTTTGTGACTAAATTAAATCGATGAAATGAGCTCATAGTCAATTTTGGACAATTTTTGCACCATATGGCTGAGCCGTGACCTTTTAAGAAATTCAGTTTCTATTTTTCAATAGCCCGGACTTCGAAGGTTTTACACTAAGTTTTGCAACTTTGGTAATGTAATTCTTGGCTTGCGCTGTAACCCTTTCTAGAGAAAAACCGGGTTTCGCTTTCTCCAGCAGATTAATTCAAATCCAAACCATCAAAGACTTAGGGGGATGAGATCTTCGACGTTTTCTATTTGCCAGGGGTATGTATGATTTTTGCTTAGTGCAAATTCTTTAATTTTCCTTGTTAAATTTACGCAAAGCTTGGGATAAGTTTCCACAGGAAAGTGTGCGTGCTCCAAGCGACCGGCCGTCCATCAGATTTCTCAAGCGTGTGTACTCCAGGAGAGGAAATTTGGAAAGGTAGTATTTTTATATTATACACAGGTATATTATGCATCCGTGTGGAAAATTATAATTAAAAATTCTTACCCGTTATTTTTCTGCATTAAAAAACGTTTATCAAAGAATTTCGTACCCGACTAGGTAATGGTAATTTGTGAATTTTTCCCAATGAAAAATTTTCCATTTTAACGTGACATTTAAACAACCCTGCATGTACTAAATCTGTACTATTTATTGAGTGAACATTACTCTGGATTTAGTATAACTTTCTTAATATAGAATTCAGGGTTCACTAAATTATCAAAAGGGTAATATTATTTTTAAAAGTTTAGAAATTTTCCGGGTGCTTTTTTCCAAACTAATTTTTAATACGAATTTTTAGGATTACTCTTTTTCCTGTCAATGGGCAAAAATCGGAGCGAACATCCCATTCCCTGGAGACTGTACCAAGTTTGTAGCCTGCATTCATGGCGGTGTGGTTTTCAATTGTCCAGAACCTTTACACTTCAGTCCTACCCTGCAAGTTTGCAATTGGCCCGACAAAGCTGGCTGCCTCATTTCAAATATTGTTGTCCCCCCTAATTAACGAAATATTACGCAAATATCTATTTGAAACAATTCTATCTTTGCAGAGTAAAAATTTGATAAAACGATATCTGACAAATTTCTAAAATAAAATTCGATTTTTATCAACACTAATCTTTCATGATGAAGAATAATTTTTATTACATGTTTATCATTCCATTATAATCGTACAATTTAAAGTGAGACCAATTTAAAGTGTTATAATTGTCAATTGCTTACTACATATATCAGCTCTTGAATTAAGATTTAGATTAGAATTGAATAGAATTTGGTACTTATTAAAATGATAGGGTTAATTCAGGCGTGAAATCTTCATTTTGATGACAGGCTTACATACGTTTTAGTGTTTTGTTAAACAGCTGTGACCCGACTCTTAGCTGTAGAGTAAGAATTATACGATTCAACAACGACATCCACCACTAATTTTAGAGTTTGGAATTAAGCATTCTAAGATGTTAATATGGTCAGTGTGTGATGATTAATCCAAATTTTTTGGTGGGGCAATTACCTTGGGAGGCATTATGAATTTATAACTTTGTGTTTATAGTGTACCTTGGGAACCAGATTTCTCCGGAACGGGTGGATGGAATTTCAAAACATTTTTTTCCTGTAATCCATATCGAAGTACCTCCACCCCTTTTAGACGTTTTTCAGAAATTCGAATTTTGAAACTCAGAAAACAAAAATTCGAAAATTTAATGAAATTTGTAAATCGAATTATAAAATTGCATTTTTTTAAATGTTCGAATTTTTGTTTTCTGAGTTTCAAAATTCGAATTTCTGAAAAACGTCTAAAAGGGGTGGAGGTACTTCGATATGGATTACAGGAAAAAAAAATATTTTGAAATTCCATCCACCCGTTCCGGAGAAATCTGTGTCCCAAGGTACACTATGTACACAAAGTTATAAATTCATAATGCCTCCCAAGGTAATTGCCCCACCAAAAAATTTGGATTAATCATCACACACTGACCATATTAACATCTTAGAATGCTTAATTTCAAACTATAAAATTAGTGGTGGATGTCGTTGTTGAATCGTATAATTCTTACTCTGTACTCAATCCCCTTATATGGATATGACCAAGGTGATCGTGTAATACAATAATAATGACATGTACGTTGCTTTGGATGATTTCCCAATAGCGTAAAACGGGCCCACCCTAATCCTTAAAACTCTACAACTGTCCAACATCTTCCTTTTACTGGCCGAGATTTGTTGCAATTTCCAAAACTGGGCAAACTTTTCCGACCTCAGCGTTAGACTTGTGCAGATAGGATACAGGAAGTGGGACGCAGCTGAAGTCAACAACATGATTGACGCAGATAAAATCGACAGAGGAAATGGGACCGTCCAAATCAATTTAATCACAATATATCCAAACACGGAGTAAGCGAGGACACCAATCTGCAATCCAACCGGAAGAATGAATACGATAACTTGATTCAAAACAACGTTGAGAATTTGAAGTTCTTGATATTTCCGAAAGTACTGACGGAATTTGGCTATGTTTCCCACTTTTGTAAAAATGTGAGCAGTTTCCAAGTGCAGGGTTACTCCAAAATGTAAATTGGAGATTTGATTCTCGGTCGACACGCTAGTTGAAATTTGATGTTGAAACAGCTTCGGATTAGTGATATATGTCAAACAAGTGTGAATTGGTAGTACGGAGTTTAGCAGGTATAACACAAATCCAAAAATTAAAGTCAGTCCATGTACTGTAAAAAATAGGGTGATCATTACTCTGATTATGATTTTCCAAAAAGGTGGAAGCCATGTGACGAATCTGAAGAAAAAGTAGGTTGGGTCGAGATTATCTAGTAAGATGGGTACTGTAGCCGTAAGAAATCCCATGATTACGGGGGCGGGAACCATACAATTTAAAAATAGGCCAAGTCCGTGAGTTTCGCCTTTAATAAAAAAACATGTAGTACATTGTTAAATCCAATATAGCCAAGCGTTTCACGTGACATTTTGTAAGTCCGTAATTATCTAAATTGACCAATATTATTTATGAATATCTCCAAGGCCATTCAGGCTCATTAAACTTGTGAAGCTAAAATCCATATTATTTGTTCGTAAGCCTATCATCGTATACTTCCGTGGATACGGATTTACGAAGTTTGACGTGAAATACCGTAATATAATGTACACGTGTACATAAATACCTTTCTCATCACGACTAGTGCTCCATTTCTTGCCGAATAAGAAGCAAATTTCATCCACTTTCCAGATTTAGGTGAGCATAGAAGCGATTGATACGAAGCTAAAGCACAGATAGACGACCAGCATCAGCACTTGTGGCAAAGATATAACTTTCCGGAAAGCGGCGATCTCGTGAATTCCGACAAACAGGAAGTGGGATGCCGCCAAAATTGTCAAAATCGAGTAGATCCACCACGGACCGAGTTTCACTTTGGGAGTGGCTCGAGGTCTCCATGTTACCCTGTCCCATGTGATATATTGCGGGTATAAATACTCGGTTAAGATGGCGAACCTTTGCATTCCTTCGAAAATACCGAATGTAGGTAAATTAAGATTTAAAGATCTGAGCAACTTGACCCTTTTATCATATTTGAAGAGCTCCATGGTTATCATACCGGTGGGACGGGTTGCTAACTTCAAATGACTTAATTTCCCCAAGCTTGTGTTCATTTTTTTATGTGTGCCCACACTCCAGAAAACCGGTAGGGTTATACATACACATGTATATGTACACCGTACGGATTTGGTAGAAACTTTTTACCGGGTGCGCAGTTACTTATTAGTTGTCGAATTTTTCATCTTCACAAAACTACTAGACGGTAATGCTAGTTATTACAATTTCAGTAAAGTCATGTTTATACGTAGGCATGCACTATTTAATACCAGTTTTCTAAGTGTGTACATATTATCCAGTGGAGTGGTTCGCTAATTGTGCATTTAAACCGTTACATATGTAAGTATAGGATGCAGTAATTTAAGCCAATTAGTGTGGTTGGAAATGAGAAAAAAATAATGTCGAGCGATATGCGATTTTGTTAGAAGTGGTTAAACTTAGGTAATTTATGTAATTATGCTTTAGTGGGTTAGTTATATAAATTACGGTTCGACTACTACATTCGAATGTTCGAGCGTATGTAAATACTTAATTTGCATAGCTATATCAACTCACAATGCGATGGTGTGAAGTGTAACCCTCCGATTTGGCTGAAATTTTAAAATTAGGTGGTCCAAGCCAATACAACTAACGTTTCTTCAGGCAGTTTGTGCGATGGTGAGAGTTACTCAAAATATTTGAGGTCAAAGTTCAAAAAACGGCCGACTTTTTTCAGGCGCAGGGAGAAAACTTCCATTCTCTTCCCCTCGCTTTGATTATATTCAGGCGTCTCGCTCATGCATACGCCTTCATGCTCAAGCACAAGCTTTGATGCAAAATAATAAAAAATAAACATTATTAATTATAGCTTAAAGAGCAATTAATACGCATTATACATACTTAATTTAATTTATAATTAAATAAGTGAGATTTTTACTTATTTCTAGTACAAATTTACATAACAGTTAATTTATAAATTCGCCAACGGCAAATAAACATGGAAAAACTTAACTTGCTTTCCATTTCGAAAGCGTTGGTTATTCTAATATCCAATTATATATTAATATTTTAAATGCTCCTGTGATTCGATATTGCTGGTACTCAAGCGGATTATGGGGTGATGACGAAAGGCCCGAGTTTAAAAATGTAAGCGAAGTTTGTTTTAGAGAAAAAAATATTAGTTGCGACCTGAATTGTGGCAATCCCACATTCATCAAATTCAGCTGGTGCAGTTTATCGTATTGTTTTGTGGACTTTTATGAAAATTATCATATAGTCACATGTGCAATGAATAATTAATATTTTTCTATAAAAAATTAAATTTAAAATTGTTGAAATGAATTATTTTTCGGAGTGAAAATCAAAGCGAGGGGAAGAGAATGGAAGTGGAGTTTTCTCACTCCGCCTGAAAAAAGTCCGCCGTTTTTTGAACTTTGACCTCAAATATATTGAGTAACTCTCACCATCGCACAAACTGCCTGAAGAAACGTTAGTTGTATTGGCTTGGGCCACCTAATTTTAAAATTTCAGCCAAATCGGAGGGTTACACTTCACACCATCGCATTGTTAGTTACATATGAATAATTTAACTTATAATTCCTTGTATTTCCGTACTTTCGTAATATCATGTAATTTTGTTGCAGGTCTTTCTCATCCAAATATTTGACATTATGCAACTTTATTAAATATGTATACCTACTACTGCCATATATTATGTCTCATGCATTCCGCGCGCCAAAAACATTAGCAGGAGTTCTGTTAGACGGTTCTACTATTATTTATTGAATTCCCCATGCAATTGTCAGTCAGAAACCATGTTCCGAAAATGTTTGTGGCCCAAAGTGCCAAAATGACAGATCGGCAAAGCCGACGTGTTGCAATTTTTCAGAAACATTTTGGTAAACATAAAAATCCGGCATTTTTCAATAGCTAATTAAAAATCGGAACTAATCGCAAGATGGTCGACCGTACTACAAAATGATCCCCTGACACTGGCAGTGTTGACAGGCGAAACAAAATTTAAAGGCAACGGTCAAAAAGGTCACAAAAAATCACGAAGGCGCGGAAAACCTGAATTCGACCGAATCCATCCCTGAGCCAAAGAAAAATTTCCCTACAAATGAGCGGGCCAAGTAAAACTAAGTCCCAGGCCCCTAAACTAGACCTTGGACTTATGTCTTTAAGATGTGAAGAGAAACACTTACTGACTTCACGCCAAGTAAAAATAGAACCCTCAAAACCGGGCGCTGATCATGCGGTACGCGCTTGAAAAATGAAAATAAATATTTTTAAAATATGATCAAACTTTCACAATTGAAACCATGTAAAATTAGCAGAAGCACTGTGTCCACACCCCTCCAGTCCATACATATTATTCATAAAAATTTTAAAAATAGTAATCGGACCCACCATCCAGATTCTGCAATTTTTTTATTCGGCGTAAGTTGGATTTGGTCAAAAAGGTGAATTTTCTTCCTCTGGGGGTGAAATTTCTTGTCAAAAAATATTTTTTGAAGTTATCGAGTGAAAGGGAGAA